GTGTGCTCTTCTGATCTGATGCAGAATTCATACTGTCCTATATGAGTCCTATGTATTACCATTCTTGCCCTATGTGGTACCTATATACATTTTTATATGGGACTGTTACGGTCCCATGTGGGACCATTACGATCTTACGTAGAACCTTCGCATGGTCCTTCACAGGACCTTTATGGTTCTTCATAGAACCTTCATGGTCCTTCACTGGACCTTCATGGTCCCATATGGGATACCTATGGGAATTCGCGGCAGGGAGTTTACATTCTGTTGCAGCAAATTCGCATCCAGACCTTCCTTTACGGATTGAAGCTAATGTCATAATTACTTTTCTATATAAATATAAATTTTTATTTAATTCTATATTTAAGATAATGATTAAAGAAATAGAAAATATATAATGATTAAAATTGATAACAATGAAATGAACGAACCAGGAAAGCCGATGACATTTTTCCTTTTTCTGTGCCTGTTTTATGTAATTCATTTTCAGAACGTTGTCGTTTGGCATTTTGATCTTCACCATACCATATTGACCTTAAAATATAAAAGAAAATTATAAGGTAAATACCAAATGTAGTAAATAACATTTTTAAAAAATAATATATTTTAAACAAAAAAGATAAAAAAACTTCAATTTCTTGGAAAAGTCACATATTACAATGCGTTTATCCCAGATTTCAACAAAAGACCGACTACTATGTTTCGTCCGAGATACGCTTCGTCAGATTTTCAAATGGACACCTGCTACAGAGAAAGCATTCAAGGAAATCAAGATGGTTTTGTCACCTCAATTTCTTATGCTGTACGACGCATCATTATCTCTGCTTTTGGTCGCCAACACCAGGTAGCTAAACTCTAACTGTTCTCTTACATCATCTAACCAATGGAAAAACAATCAATTAACAGTTGTATGACTTCTATAGAGCAGAAGATTCCGTAGATTGACAAGGAAGCACTTGGTGTTTGGGCTATACAAAAGTTCTATTATTTCTATCCTAGCCATTGGACCTTAATCATAAATCACAAGCTTTTGACTCGAGTACTTCACTTAAAGAAATTTATCAGTTTTGTGCATCAGAATGGATAACGTGGATTACTTATTTAAACTTTAACGTGATTTTCAGAGCCACAAAAGAGAATACTAATGCTGATTATTGTTCCAGAGCATCATTATATTCTTGTCGATTAATATTATTTAATGCTCTTTGTCATAAGGAATATTGTGAAGATGGATTCGATCATTTTACCACAAAGCAAATCTAACAACTGTCAATCACTAAACAAAATCACTCAAGAAAGGAAGAATCCTACACTTCTAAAACCGTTAAATTGTTGGAAACAGCACAAAGTCTCCAGCGTGTAAGCTATTGAGTTCTAGAATCAACCTACAAATTGGCCTGTAACTACCTCATGTTTCAAGCATAGCAACCCGACTCTCTCGCACTCGGTAACGTTCGGCTTGGCCGGCGTCATGCTTGCTCGGCCGGCATCGGGCGGCTTCGGACCACCTCGACTGCTCGGCTCGCCGCTCGCCGCCTTATTTCAAACAGAGATATAGGTTAAAGCGTATAAATGATGTAGCTGACTCGCTCGACGATTTTGATAATGTAATAATTTTTATGTCGAGTCACGCGTTACCACAACATTAAACGTAATAATTGCCAACAATGTTTATTATGAATAATATATTGAAGAAATTAATATTAAACAAAAATTAATGTTCTTTTAAAATACATTGTGTGGTTATTTTATAATACTAATACAACACAAATATATTGTTAAATGTGTATTATTAGTATTATAATATTCCAAACAATTGAGATAAATATTTAAAAAGATATTTAATTTTTATTTAATATTAATTTCTTACATATGCATAATATTAAATAAAAACAAAATATCTTTTTAAATATTCATCTCAATTGTTTCGTAATATTATAATACTAAGAATACACATTTAACAATATATTTGTGTTGTATTAGTATTATAAAATAACCACACAAAGTTAGTACATTTCAAAAGGAAATTAATTTTTATTTAATAATTTCTTCAATATATTATTTATAATAAACATTGTACGAAATTATTATGAATAATGTTCTGATAACGCGTGATTGATTTAAAATAAAAATTAATTAAAAATATATATATATAATTAATTTCAGATCATCTTTGAGGTTCTATTGTTGACGCAAGAGTGATCAATTGTTACAGTGTAATATAACAGTTGCTACAATTTTCAACCATATATGACTTATATATGTATAAACGTAATTACTTTATATATATTCTGTATATATGTATAACATAGAATACATATACACACATTTTATTCTTATAATCTATATAGAATATGGTAGTTATACATATAAAAAAAAGTTCCTTTAGCGGTTCCCTCTTGATGTTAAAAGATTTTCCTCTTATATATGTCTCAAGAGAATATTCTAAAATGTGAGAGAAATATCGAACTACTATGAGAATTTATTCTTGATTATAGTGCATTATCCACATCTTTATAGATAAATACGCGCTATAGCTGAGGAATATGCTTGACGAATATGTAAATTTTTTTTGTTTAATGGGAATGCTTAAAGGAATTTCCCGCTTATAAGTAGAACATTTTTTTTGGAGTGTACATATATTCTATATAGATTATAAGAACAAAATGTGTGCATATATTTGTTATAGTTTCATGTTAATTGTATTTTCTACAAACATTAATAAATTGTAATAATTATTTTCAATATTAAATATATCTTTATCTAATATATAATTCTATTGACTAAATACTCTTTAGAATTATATATTAGATAAACATATATTTAATATTGAAAATAATTTTTACAATTTATTAATGTTTATGGAAAATACAATTAACATGAAACTATTAAAAATATCAATACAATATGATTAAAAGTTTTAATAACAGTACACGCCTTTAATATAATTATTAAACTCTGATATTGTACGTAATAATATAATTAAATTATTATTTTATCAACCTCGAAATACTCGTATGTTGAATACAATATTTTATTTTATATTAATCGACCTATAAAGTAAGCGCGAAGGTGAGCTCACCGAGGTCCGCCGGAAAAAGAAATGATATTTAAAAAAGCACTAAAATTTAATTTTTTATTTTTTATTTATATTTGTATAATATTTAATGTTAAAATAAAGTCCAAAATTAACTGTATGGAAAAAAAGATGTTTTCATTTATATCTTTCAAAGTGAAAAATTCTTCCAACAGTGCATAATCTATGTTGTACGAAATACAGTAATAATAATTTAATGATTAAACGACCTGTAAATGAACCTGTAAGTGAAGTTCTATCATAATTGTATGAAGCGTCTCTTCCGAAAGATAAAAACGTAGTACTCCTCAACTCTATACCGGGGCGCCACAAGCTTCAAAGTCAAAATGCCCCCCATCCATGCCTGTCCTTCGCCTATTGTCAAATTGTGTCGATATTAATGCCTTTTCTTTTGAAAGCCGTAGACAAATAATAATTTTTGGGGTCCAACTTCGTTGGACTTGGGTATCGGGAGGGACTTATCTTTCGGAAGAGGCGCTTCATATAATTATGACAGAACTTCACTTACAGGTAAGTTCGTTTAATCATTAAATTGTATTACGCGCCTCTTCCTTAAGATAAAAACGTAGATGTTTAAAGGAGGCTACGGCTGTACAAATTAACTTTTAACGAAAAAGCATATAAATTAATACACCAGTGTTTATTTTGAAAATAACAGTTCATACAGTCTTCTACTAACGAGTAACACATAGATAAATCTCCTTATTAATTATTTAAGATTGCCTGACCAAACAAGCTTAAGTCTTGAGTGATGGGTCTATCATAAAATCTTGCAAAAGTGGCGGATGTTTCTGTCCAACCTGCCGCCTTCCGAATTGTATCGATATTAATGCCTTTTCTTTTGGCTGCAGATGTCGAGGCGTGCCTAGTGCTATGCGCAGAGAAACTATTTGTATCTATGCCACTGCTACGCAAAACATCTTTTACCCATCTACTTAAGGTTTGAGTCGATACTTTCTTAAAAGGTTTTTGAAAAGATATGAATAAGGCATTGATATCTTTCCTGAGCTCTTTGGTCTTTCTTATGTAAGTTTGCAACGTATTAGCGGGGCAAATATTTAGATTTTCCTTGTAAAAGAGTAAAACAATTATTGGTTGTTTCGATCCTGGTTTAGACGTTTTAATTCTATCTGGAATCTTAATTTCTATTAAGTCTTTCTTTATAACTATGTTCCTTAAGTCAATTAATGCTAAAGTCTGCATTCTTTGGCCTGATACTAAAGCTAGCAACGTCACTAATTTCTTACTGAGTTTCTCTAAAGCTAGATCTTTATTTGGGAGTTCCTTAAAAAAATCTAAAACTGTCTTCGGATCCCAAGTAGAGTCGTATTTCGGCTCTGGGGAGTCTTAATTTCGATAGCCCCTTGAAAAATCTCCTAATTATTTCATTTTTCCCAATCTCTGGGCCTGCAATAAGAGAAATAGCAGATCGAGTGCAATTAAGCGATCCATAAGACGCTCCTTTTTCATATTCCAAGGTCAGAAACTTAATGATATCTAACACCTCTGCTCTATATAAAGGTAATCCCCTTGTTGTACAAAACAACCACCATTTTTTCAAAGAGGCATCGTATTGCTTAAGAGATGACTCGCTTAGGGAAGATATAGAAATCTTTATGGATTCTTCTGGGATGCTTTATCCGAAACGTCTCCCTGATAACTTCCCTGCTACCAGGGTAAATGTCTTCCAAAGAGGGTGTGGTTCTCTGTCAGGGAAGAGTAAATTATTTCTGTTAGGTTTGAAAATTAACGGATCCGATTCCAGCAATGAGCGGAATAAGGGGAACCACAATTGCGCTGGCCAATG